AGCAGTTTGCCCTTTCTGTACCCCAGTGATCACCATCTGCAAGATAAAGATGACAGCATCTGCACTCTGTGGGATGTTGTGAGGCTAGACTACTGCTAACAGGGGGCTGGAGATCCTTAAGTAAAATGTACAGCTGTATAGCAAAGCAGCGTTAACTAACCTCCAGTGCAGAGCTGAAAGTGTCCTTCCTAAGCGTCTACTGGTGTGAGCATCCAGTTTTGCAGTGTGGGGACCACTCAGGTCTGGCTGCAAACAGTCAATGCAGGGGAAAAGATCTCTGCCCTCATATCCCCACAGTAGCTATCTCTTGTGCCACACGCTTGCCTGGACCTGCTATGAGATGACACAGCTGGAGGAAGGAAAGCCACAAGCAATTCCTAGGCACCGACCATGCCACAGCTGGCCTGGATGACCCACTGCACAGGGCTGTCACTTCTCATGTGCCCAGTACCTAAAGGAGATGGCTGCCTCCCCATTTGGGAGCTCAGAGGGGATGGACTTGCTGCATGGCCTCCACGCACAGCCCCGTGTCTAGTGCATGAGCCTCTTCACAGCATCTTGGGCCCCAGCCTTCTAGTTCGTTGGGACATCTCATTAACTATCAGATACACATATTTGTAACCAATTGAGCAAATCACACACACAGACTGGGCAAAAATACCATGGCTTTGACTTTGTTACTTTCCCCCTCCCTGGGAACCACGCTTCCCCCACACAAAGGAGCCTTCCTTGGAGAGCCTCTCCGTGCGCCTGGGACCTGCCAAGGGGAAGAGGTGAGCCCAGCGAGGGAGAGCAGAAACAGTGTCATAATCAGGCTCTCCACTTTATTTTAGAAACATGCCGACCTCCTGTCACCTTCCTTGTGGGAAAAGTTAGCATGAAGTGTCAAGCTCAGCTATTTATATCGCTGCTGATAGTCTCGCCTGTCTTCTAAAGAGGGGCAAACTTTCTTCCTAACAATTCTAGGGGAAGTAAAATCATATAAAGAGGATTGCGCAGGAGCAGTCCCCCTGCCTCTTTGGTGTGAATTTCCTAGCTGTTCCCCAAAGCCTCAGCTGGTCTGTCCAGAACAAGCGTGCCGGCCAGAGCAAGTGGCAGCAATGCAAAATGCTCGCCTGTCGTTCAAAGTGTGCGGCATCACAAAGAGGATGGGCAAAACTGCTCCAAGAGCAACGGACACTTCCTCTCCCACAGAAAAAGGTAGCGCAAAAAAAGGATGGTGGAGAGTAGCCCATTGCTGGCGAGCTCGCCTGGTGTACTGGCAGGTGCCGTCTCCGCTGGGGTATTTTTATCGTGGAATTTGGCAGTCACAAGGCAGCCCGGAGCTGGGCGGACACCACGCCCGGCCTGCAGTGTGATATTCGGTTTTCCCCAGCTTTAATAGCATTCCAGGTGATAATTAAGCCGGGCCGGCCACATTGCTGGGTTTGTGCCAGGCTGCGCTGCTCTTTGTCACATATGCGTTTCCTGGTGCCAAGATCCCATGACTGCGCACAGCTCCGTTGTTGATCCAGCAGAAAGCTGACAGCCAAAAGCACGGCCGGGCAGTGGCACAGCCCACAACTCTGAATGAATATGCATGACTCCGCTGTCAAGACATTCTGCTATCAGGTGCTGAGACCCTGCGAAGATACCCAGAGGTGTTTTTCGCTGAGTCACACTACAGTGAGATGAGATTTGTCCAACTGAGTCCAAACTAGGAATATAAAAGGCCGCAGATGCTTACACGCTGAGAGGTCAAAGCATGCGGGACAACAGTAGTCTGGGAATGAGGAAAGGGAACTATACGGAAAATTCCCAAGAATAGTAAAGCCCTGAGGAGAAAGGCTAGGTCAGCGGCAGTCCTGCCTAGCCAGGAAAAGCTGTCAGGAGGTGACAACAATCCTTCTCTGCTTGCTGGCAGCAGAGAGCTAGATGCTCTCTTCTGTTGCTCCAGCAGGCCCTTGGTCTGGCATTGCAAGAATAGCTCGTTAATAACTAAAAAACATCTAAGCCAAAAACATTGCTCTAGGAGGGAAACTCCTTCTCTTGGTTTCCAAAACTTGTTCTCCTGTGGACACCTACCCCCTTTCAGCCACCATCTCAGCTCTCTGTGGGGCTGCAGCAGGATGATCAGGAGGCATTTGGGTCTTTGGGAAGCCCCTCCTTTAAACAGCCTGTGCAGGGGAGCAGCCAGCAGGAAGGGCAGAAGGAGCAGCCCTATTATCTAGCCTAAGCCTCATGGCTGCCAGCCTTGGATCATTCTGATTTACTTCCTCTTGGAAACTTTTGTGCCTGTGTGATGCAGGTAAATTACTGTTATTCTCACATCCATCAACATTTTTTATTTCTGGACTCCTCTTGCACTTACGTTTGCTTTACTTTGTGTTCTGCACACATTGATTTTTACAATTTGCAAGTATCTAGGTTTAGTAGCCTTCCCTAGGGAAAACAAGCCATAGCAAAACTCCAAACTACCTGCACATGGAAGAACTGATGGAAAAAGATGCTCAGTTTGTGATTGCACATACTTATGACAGGAAGGAAAACCCAGCCTTGACACAGCCAGGGAGAACTGTGTTCATTTTTACCCTAACAAGCAAGGTAGATCAAGAAAAGGCAACTGTCAACTAACAACAGCAGGAGCAGTAGGGGCACCTGCAAACAACAAACTCACCTGGAAAAATGAGGACACCCACCATTGTTCATGCTGTCTTGGAAGGAATATTCCACGCGTACAGTTGTGCTACACCATATTGACCTTGGATGCACCTGTACATTGAACTGTAGGTAGCTGGTTGCCTTGTCTGCACTCTGGGGAAAAAAAAAAATTAAAAACCCTGATTTCAGTGCAACTGTCTGTAAATATTTCCCATCACTGATTTATCCGCCTGTATTTAATCCCCTGGTGCCCACAGAATGAAGCCATATGGTAATTTCTCCAGAACGCAGTAACTGCACCAGAGCCATTTCAGAAGATAAGACAGGACAGATCCACAGATTTGCCAGTTTTTACCAGGGCAGACAAAGAGGAGTCAGAAAGACTAGCTGATTTTCTGTGTTACTGCTCCTCCAGTTCTGGGCTGGCAGCAGATGAAAGCTTCAGCATACTTTCAGCAGCCACCAGGATCTACATCAGCACGATTGCAGCATGCCTGCCAAAGCAGGAAAGAGCCAAAGCCCTTTGCTTCCTGGTATGCTCCTTCTCCCTCCTCACACAGGTTCCAGCTGGCGGTGGGGCAGCAAGTGGTCACCTCCCCCTCTCCTTACCTGGGCAATCCTCACCCATCCGCAGGGCAGCCCTCAGCAGCACGAGGAGTTTAAGGGTTCGACTTTTGATCTTTGCACCATCCATCCTTGCAGATGGACACCGCACATAAACAAGCGATGGCATAAATCATCGCGTGCGCTGCTACATTAAATTATACCATGTACATAACCAGAGGAGGGGATATTGTTCCCTCAACAAGCGTCTCTGTTCTCCAGCTTTTACTCACAGGCAATCTAGACAATATTGCTGCAGTAAATTCTCAGCATTTAACAGTGTCTACTCTCCACAGACGTTCTTTGTACAGTAAAAACAATTGGCTCTTAAAGACAAGACAAGGGACAATAAAGAAGGAGAGTTAACACTTTTGGTCCCTATGGCTTTGGGATTTACCTTGACTAGTGCTTTTAGTATTTCATTATGATGATTATTAAGTTTTTCATTTATTTATTAAAAGGATATTTTCAAAAAGAGTGACTGTGGGAGAACATTATCTCCAAGGTAATACTGCACACTTTACAGCACCTAGCCCTTAACTCACGCACAAGGGAGAGCTTTGCAGTGCCCTGGGAAGGTAAGCATGGTGAGTATAACCGGATCAAATGATCGCTCAAGCACTCCCACAGAGCCCCACAAAAGATGGATTAAACCCATCATTCTCTTTTTATCCAGGGGGTTAAGTGACTTGGCCAGAAACAGTCTGTCAGAGTCGGAAACAAAATTGAAGCAGGCTCTCCGACATCCTCACGTTGCAATCTTACTACCAGCCCACCAAACCTTTCCTCTCATCAGACCACCTACCAAACAGCAGTTCCCAGGAGCTGCTGTCCTTGGGAGGCATTTCAAAGGAGGCTTTTTTCTTTGCCTGTGTCATTTGAACTGTGAATTTTGTCTCAGAGCTTAAGAAAAGAGGAGGGAGCAAGATCCACCATTTAGATTTTGCAGCAGTTCCCTCTCAGAGAGGCATGATGGGGTGGCAGCAGATTAGGTTTACAGGACTGGCACAGCTCAAAGTCTACACTCCCTAAAACATTTGCAGCTTGTGAATGAAACACTTGCAACTGGCGACACTGCAAAACCAAAGCAAAACCTATGGGCAAGGAGCAGGTGGGCAACAGGAAGGTTTCCTCTGCATTTCTTTCAGTGGTGGCATTGAGCTCAGAAATAAAGCCCAGAGCTGAGCACTTCATGTTCCAGGTATCGGTGCAGGTATTACACAAAGGCAACATATGAAAGTGCCAAGGCACTGCTCGGACCAAGCCGTAGACTCCAGTCTTATCTTCCAGGGGATCAGCCCATTAAGGATTCCCCAGAGCCCAGTTTGCAGGCAGATGAATACTGCTTTAACTACACAGTCCACAGAGGATGCAATATGCTGACTGCAGTGAAAGGACTTTCTGAACCAAGAAAAAAATCCGGCTCACCCTCAAAGTTTTGGCAGCCCGTTTAACAGGTTGTAGTTGGATTATGCAAAAAAGATCACTCATTGTTTCAGTAGCTGAATAAAAAAAAAAACCCAAAACCCAACACATCGTTTTCAGTGGATGCAAAACAAAGTTTTCGGCAAACCAGACCTCATTCACTTCAGGTCAAATTAAAACATTTCCTTTGACACAAAACAAATCATTTCACTCCATGCATTCCCAGTTGGGCATTTCCTAACCCTCCTTAGAACCACTCTCTTCTATTTTCTCCCACAGAGGCTGCATCCAATTCTCCCTTCAAGACTTCTCACCCCTCCTGGTGAGCAGAAATGGGGGACTGGAGTTTCCTGGGAGAGTTCCTCGAGGAGGTCCACAAACACTCCACAGTGGTGGGGAAAGTCTGGTTGACCGTGCTCTTCATCTTCCGGATGCTGGTGCTGGGTACAGCAGCTGAGTCCTCCTGGGGGGACGAGCAGTCTGACTTCATGTGCGACACCCAGCAGCCTGGCTGCGAGAATGTCTGCTACGACAAGGCCTTCCCCATCTCCCATGTCCGGTTTTGGGTACTCCAGATCATCTTTGTCTCCACCCCATCTCTGGTGTATATGGGCCACGCGATGCACACAGTGCGCATGGAGGAGAAAAGGAAGATGAAGGAGGCAGAAATAGAGGCCCAGGAGATGAAAAACAATGGTGACACATACTACCAGCAGAAGTGCCCCGCGGCAGAGAAGGCCGAGCTGTCTTGCTGGGATGAATCGGGAGGCAAAATCATACTCAGGGGCAGTCTGCTGAACACTTATGTCTACAGCATTTTGATTCGCACTGCCATGGAAGTGGCCTTCATTGTGGGACAGTACATCTTGTACGGGATCTTCCTGGAGACCCTGTATATCTGCCAGCGGGCACCTTGCCCCCACCCTGTCAACTGCTACGTTTCCCGTCCCACAGAGAAGAACGTGTTCATCGTCTTCATGCTGGCTGTGGCAGTGCTCTCTCTATTCCTCAGTCTGGCCGAGTTGTACCACTTGGGCTGGAAGAAAGCCAAAGAGAGGTGCTCCCGGTCTTACAAACCCAGCCCCAGCACGGCCCCTGGCAGATTGGAGTCTGTCCCGCAAGTAGAAAGGGCCCAGATGTACACTCCTCCACCAGATTTTAACCAGTGCTTGTCAAGTCCCAATGGGAAGTTCATCAGCCCCTTCAGCAACAAGATGGCCTCCCAGCAGAATACCGCCAACTTTGCCACCGAAAGGGTCCATGGCCAGGAGGATGCTGCTGGTGAAGGGCCCTTCATTAAGTCCAGTTACGTGGAGAGTCCGGAGGCGGCCAACGAATGTGCGGCACCCGCCTTCCCCGAGAACT